GACAGGTTTTCATTGCGGCTCCCTCGTTCCAGTGCGAGGCGAGCCAAGCCTCGCGCGGGATGGGGCAGAATTGTCGCGCGCTTTGGCAGGTCCCAAGGCGTTTGGGGAGTCGCGGTCTCGTCCCAGCGCTAGTCGCGCCGCCGCGCATACCATAGCGCTGCCGACGCAGGTTGGAGGCAGAGATCTCGGCCAGAAGAGAACCATGTCGCTAATTCATGAAGTGCATAATGCCTTGCCAACGCTTCCGCCTGTCACTACTTTCGCGCTGGTGGAGCTGCTGGGGCGTCACAATATACTCGCGCTGCAGGATCTGCAATTCGCGCGAATCGGATGGCTTGAGCCCATTCCCGACGCAGACAGTGAGCGAGGCGTCAGTCCCGACGCCTTGCGGAACAGCTTGTTGGCACTAATTAGCGAGGCAAAGAAATTGCCTGCAGCCGCGCGGAGAGCGGGTGGCGAGCGCCCTCCCTCGCCCGGCGCGCCCGAGCGCGCGCCCCGAAGCCGCAGTCGCCGCGTCCGACGGAGAGCGGCTAAATGTGCTGACTTAGCCGCTGAGTGCGGCGCCGTGCGGGATCCTGAGTTGGCTTTCAGCATTGCGAGCCAGTCGCGCGCGATGCTCGAGCAGTGCAGGCGCGCTATATTTGGCAAGCTCGCCCAATAATGTTCATTCGCCAGGCGCCCCTCGCGAAATTGCTGAAGCATCTCGCCCGGCATCCTTCAGAGCGCGCGCTGCGAATGCTTCTCCTGACGGCGTATATATTCTTGTTGCGCCTGCCCTCTGAAGCTCTTCCGATTCACGTCGCTCGTGCAAGCGATCCACCAGAGGGGCCGAAGTCCTGCCTAGTGTCTGATGACAGTACGATTTCGCTTACTCTGCGCTGGCGCAAGAGCCGCTCCTCGCCGATCACGATGTCGCGGGCCTGTTGGCGCGCGCGCTGTAAAGCAACATGTCCCGTGCACGCGTTGGGCGAGTTTTGCGCCGAGGTCGAGTCCTACGTGGTCTTAACGGCGCTGCGCGCAGCCCTGCAAGAGCTCGGGGTGCCCCAGCATCATGCGTATCGCACGCGCTATCTTCGCAGGGGTCACGCGCAGGACATGGCCGTCCGAGGGTCGCGGCTGGCAGACATCCTACGAGCCGGAGATTGGTGTTCTGCGGCTTTCCTGTCCTATTTGAATAAGGACGAACTGAAGGCGGCTGCCATCAGGGAAGCGCGCGGCGACATGTCGTCCAGCGGCGATGATGAAGGCTAAAGGAGTCGCATTTTGGGCACCTCGCGCGAGTGCGGCGATGGGTGTTCCCTCGAGCGCCGGTGCAGCAAGTGCTTTGGGTGTCGCTGCGCCCGCGCGCTCCCGCGGGGCGCGGCGACGCGAACAAGGCGTCGCGCGCCTGCCCCGCGGGCGCGGGCCTACCTAATGAGCAGCGCCCCCCGCGCTCTCCCCAGCCCCCGCAAAGCTGTCTAGGGTAGCGTCTTTGTGGGGCAGAACACTACGCAGTTTTGTTCGTTGTCACAAAAGCGCACACCTAGCAGCGTTTCTCCGCCCCCCCCCGCCGCGGGCGCCGCGAATCGCCGCGCGGCCCGCGGGGGGCGGTGGTGGCGGGCGGGGCGGCTGGGTGAGGTTGGAAGACGGGGGCGCGCCCAGGTCCTCGTGTACTTCGTGTTCTGGGTCTCGATCCCCTTCGTGACTTTCCCCCCGCAGTGGGGGGGGGGGTGAACATAGCCCCGCGCACGACGCGCGGCGCAGGGGCGCTCGTCGGCCAATCGCGAGGCCTGCGCGCTCCGCGCGCGCGTCGGCTTACCGCGGTGGCGGGTTGCGGGGTGGGGCGGGGTGTCGGGGTGTCGCTGCGCCCGCGCTCTCCCGCGGGGCGCGGCGACGCGAGCAAGGTGTCGCTCGCGCTCCCCGCTGGTGCGGGTCTGCCCGCTGAGCAGCGCTCCCCGCGCTCTCCCCACCCCCCGCAAAGCTGTCTAGGGTAGCGTCTTTTGTGATGATGATGCGATGCGATGATGATCATGATGTTGATGATGCTGATGCGGCTGCTGATGTGGATGGTGGTGGTGGCGGTGGTGATGATGATGATGGTGATGATTCGAAGAAGAGAATGTTGATAATACGGAGATCGGCTTCGCATGATGGCGAGGAGAACGATCGCCCTTCCCCCTTCGCGCCTTCTGTAATTCGAGCATTGCAAGCTGTCTTTCCTTGAAGATTTGCTTTCAAGGGCAAACTCACACTTGTTGTTCAGTTGAGCTTGGCACGCCGACGACGACGGTCACATATGACGACGCGCTGGAGGGGATATCGACAATTCGACGGAGCGTCGCTTTCGCCTTGTGTTTTTTTTGGTTTCAGATCTTCTTCCGCTTCTTCCCTCAGTCCTTCTCGACGATTTTCTCCTGACTCCCTCCCTCCTGCCCCCTGCTTCCTCGTCGACTGATCCTGGGAGTTGTGTGGACCAGTGCTTTCAGCTCCATTCAACTTGGCATGCATGAAGGCGGTTTCCAGGTCCAGGCGCGAGTCGGGCGCGGGGCCAACCACAGCGATCCGAGACCACGACACCCGATCTGATGTGCTGGTTTGCAACAGTCAACCCTGGCGATTCAGTGCGACCCGCCGCCTCCTGCTCAGTTTTCCTTCCCCTTCGTTCCCCACGGGCGGCTCCGAGGTCTGGCCGTTTCTTTCCGGCTGGCACGCAGTTCGGTGAGCCAACCCGCAGCCGTCTGCCTGGCCTGGGCGACTGCGTCCTGTCAGGGCGCCGGAGACGGGGGCACAGCAAACGGGGGCACGGGGAACGCCGATTTCCGCGTTTGGCTGTGCCCCCGTTTAGGGTGCCCGGGGCGCCGCAGACGCGGGCATAGTAAACGGGGTCATATGGAGAAACCGAAACCACCGTTTAGTTGAGCCCCCGTTGACGAAACCCCGAATCTTCTCGGATTTCCGTGCCTGCCGCGGCTCCCCTGCGGCTCCGCCGCGTGGCGGGGGGGCACGTCCGAGCGGCGGGTTGCGGGCTGCATCGCCTGCTGCGGCACCAGTAGTCCATCTGCTGGTGGGGGTGACCTGTCTCCCGCAGGTGCATTTTCCAGGCCTCCCAGAAGGGGTCGGAGTCGGAGGATCGCGCCGCATCGCCGATACATCGGCGATGCGGGCCGGTATTCAGCTCGACTTTCCCAAACGCCGACGGCGCCAGCGCGCCGCCGAAATCGCCGATGCCTCGCCGTTGCACTGGCGATGCGGCGCAATCCTCCGATCTTCACGGTCCGAGCGTGCTCGTCCGCCTGCGGCGTCCTCCCTCCCCCTAAGCCCCCCGTCTGCTTCCCCCTTGTGCCGAATTTGGCTCCGGTGCATCCTTCGGCTTTCCTCACCAGAGTGTGGCGGCTCGTCTGCGGTGCCAGGCGCTCGGTTGGCCAGTCGGGTCATCGACTCCATCGGTTATTTCGAGATCGCGGAGCCTTCTCGTGCGTTCGGTCTTGCCATGCCTGGTGGTAGAAGGCTCGTGGTTTACACAGGTGCCTTGGTCTGATGTCACGGTTTTGGTTGGCCACGCTAGGTGGTCTCAGTCTGGCGCTTTAGGCTGGTGTTTTTGCCTGGTGACACGCCGTCAGTTCGCCACGCTAGGTGGGCCGCCGAGTTTGGCGCTTTCGCCAGGTGCCAGGATGGGTTGTACAAGTAAGGCGCTTTCGCCTGACATCTAGTGCTTCAGTCACGTGCCGTAGTCTGATGATTAAGTCTGGTTCTTCAGTATGGTGCTTTCGTTGGGTGCTTTAGTCTGGTGCTTTCGTCGAGCGCCGCGCTTGCGGTGAATAGCTAACTATTCTCGCCCAGCTATTCTCATAGCTGCTCTAAGTCAGGCCTTCGCCGAAGTGTCGTGGCCTCTCTCTCTTTGGGGTTGATTCTACTGGCTCATAACGCCCTGCGTGTGTTCAGTCAGTTCTCGAGCACGTCAGTCATTTCTGCGCGCAGTGGCACCCCTAGCCGCTGCGATTGCGAGTGCCAGTTCCCCCGATGGCCTCCTCTCTGGACGTTCTGGCTGTGGGCCGATCCGAGGAACGCAGCTGTCGTGCTTTCGAGATGCAGTAGCCGCCGTGGGTAAGTACACCGATTGGTCCGTTCTGTTCCGTTCTTGTCCCTCCTTGCCTGCGGAGGTCCCCGGCGGTCTCTGGGGGGTGCCGGCGGTCTCTGGAGGCCTCGGGAGAGCCTCGGAGGCGTCAGCCCCTCTGAGGCGTCGGCCTCCGGAGCCCCAGGAGGCGTCGGGAGGCGCAGAGAGGGTCAGGATCGTGGTAAGACCATGACGATCCTCCCACCCTTCCCCTGTTCCGGCCCGAAGCATATCCCCATCCGTATGTTGGACACCAGCTTATCTCGGTGCCGATTTCAGGGATTCCTTCAGGTCCTGAGGGCACATCCGTAATACTGTTATCGCCTCTGAAATTGCCATTCTCAGGGATAGGGACAAGCTCGAGGCTTGTTATCCCCCCCTTGCTTTCCCTCCTTTTCCCCCTTCAGGTTCCCCATTCACCCTGTGCTGCTTCTCCTCCCTGTCCGTCCTCGTCGTGCTGGCAGTGCCGCTGCTGTTGCCACCGCCCGTCGTCGTCCTTCTCCAGGGAGGTATTGCGCAGTGATCCGATTTGGCACAAAAGCAGTTCTTGCACTCAAGATCCACGTAGACCTCCGAATGCCATCTGGGTGGCTGGCCAGTGAGCCATACCCCACGATAATTGCACGGGCAACGAAATCTGGCTGACGAGCGTATCAGGTTTCTCTGTTTCCGTCATCAGATTCGGGGGGTGTTCAATCTCCGAGTCGAAGGCGAGGCGTTGATCAAATACAGTCGCACTCAACTCGTTTTTTTGTAGCTGCAGCAGGCAATCCACGAAGCGGAAGATCAGGCAGACGTCGTCTTGCTCCCCCCTGCCCCCCCCCCCTCTCTCCCCTCCTCCTCCTCTCTCCATCCCTCTTCTCTCCCTTCCCCCAAGAAGACTCGTTGCCGCAAGTTCCGTCGTCAGGCCGCCGGGGGGCAAAGGCCGCGGCAAGGGGCGCGGCAAGCGCTCAGGCCGTCGGAGGAGAGGGAGGAGGGAGACACACATGGATGTATGCGGGAAGGGGGAGAAGAAAAGGATGACGATGATCCGGAAGAGCATGAGGAGCAGGAGGACGAGGATGATGATGATGATGATGATGATGATGATGATGATGGTGGTGGTGGTGGTGGTGGTGGTGGTGTTGGTGGTGGTGGTGATGATGATGATGACGATGACGATGAGGATGAGGATGAGGATGATGATGATGATGATGATGATGATGATGATGATTCTGATGATGATGCTGCTGATGATGATGCTGATGATGATATGATGATGATGATGATGATGATGATGATGATGATGATGATGATGATGATGATGATGATGATGATGATGATGATGATGATGATGATGATGATGATGATGATGATGATGATGATGATGATGATGATGATGATGATGATGATGATGATGATGATGATGATGATGATGATGGTGGTGGTGGTGGTCATGATGATGATGGTGATGATGATGATGATGATGATGATGATGATGATGATGATGATGATGATGTGGATGTGTGTGTGTGTGTGTGTGAGTGTGTGTGTGTGTGTGTGTGTGACCGCTTCCTAAGTAATGCTTGAGGGCCCGATCGTCGCGCGCACTGTCTTTACGCGCACTCCGACTAGTCGCCGTGCGCGAGGCCGCTACCGCCAGAAAGTTTGTGTGTGTGTGTGTGTGTGTGTGGATCTCGGTGCGTGCCTTGGTTTACTGGGTTGGGCTCTGCTACTCTGTGCTTTTCCATCCTCAGCTGCAGTTCAGTGTCGCTCAGCACCAGCTTTAGCCCTGTTCAGCTCAGTGCTGCTCAGAACCGGCGCTGGTTCCCACTTGCGGCGCTCCCCCCCCGGCCGCTGTCAGCTGCCCATTCGTGCCTCTCCGCCTTCCCCTCACCGCACGCGCCTCGTAGGTCCGCAGGTCTCGGCGCACTGGCCCATCCCTGGTCTGTGCTCGGTCCACTGGGTCGGGCTCTGCTTATTCGCTTTTCCCAACACCAGCTGCAAAAAAAAAATATCCTTGGTGCCTCCCCCCAGCTTCAGCTCAGTGCAACCCAGTGCAGCTCTGTCCCGACGCTGTTCCCCGCCTCGGCGCTCCCCCCGCCGCAGCCGGCAGCTCTGAGTGGCCTGGCTTCCTCTCTTCCTGTTGCGCCGGGGCTCCTCCTCCTTCCTTGCATCGCCGCCTTAATTTGCATACATCGTGTCTCCTGTTGCCATTCCGCCGGAGCAGTCGCCCTGTGCCCAGCCGCCGACGTAAAAAAGTGTCTGTGTGTGTTTTCAGAAAAAGCTTGCCGCGTGGTGTTTGTTCGCGCACGGGACGCCCCGTTGAAAAATGCCGCCTTCGGTATGGGACGGCATTTTTGGATGACGCATGTCGGGCACGCATCGGTGGCTGATCTGTTGGGGTCGCCGCCGTCCTTTTCTTTCTTCTCCTCTTCCCCGTCGGAGGTGGCGTGGCGTTCCTGCCACTCTCTGGCGGCGCTTCCCCCTGCGGTGGTTCGTCGGTCCCTCCTCTTCTCGGGTCGCGGGGTTCCCTCGGTCGTCGCCGTCGTCGGTCGTGGGTTCGCCGCGTCGTGGGATCCCCCGCCGTCGTCTCTCTGGGCTCCCCTCCTGCCTCTGCCCTTGTTTGCTCTCCTTCCCTCTTTCCCTTCCTCCTTCCGGGTCGTCCCCACCGCGGTGGGTTGGGCCTGTCCCGCGTGGGCGCCTGGCGGTCACCTGCCGGCGTGGTACGCCCTTTCTGCTTCTTTCTATCTCTGTGCGTCGGCCCCCTTCCTGGTGTAGCACGGTCCCCAGTGGGCTGTGCGTACCAGGCGTACCTTTGAGGGGCCATCCTGGCAGGGGATTCTACGGTTGCTCTCACCTTAGGTGCCCAGTCACAACCCCGCCCAGCTGCCGTCTCCCGTCTGTTTGTTCGGTATGCTGCGTTATTTATATATTGCTCTTGCTCTAGCAGTTCTGTTTGTGGCGCCTGGAGCTCTCCCTCCTTGCGCCCTCATCTTCAGAGCCTTCCGAGCTGCTCGCGCTTGGTCGGGGTTTCTGGCTCTGTGTGACCGGTCCTCCTGGGGTGGTATTTCTGCGTTTGCCACCGCCGACGTTTTTCTTGCATCTGATGCGTTTCTTCTGGCTCGGCGTAGGCTCCACACCTGGGCCTTCCGCGAGACTCGCGGCGCCTTCCGCGTCTTGTCCGAGACGTCCTTGGTCGACTTGGTGGCGACCTAGACGTCGGTCGGTGCGTGCGGTGTGCCTCGCGTCTTTGTTGCTCGAGCGGTGCCCTACCAATCTAGTCTGGTCGGCGCCTCTATATTGCAGCTTGTTTTTTGACCAGCCTGGGCGTGTCACTGACACTGGCCTCCTTTGGTGGCGTGGCTACCCACCCAGGATTTTACGGCATGGCTTCGTAAAATTGGTTGCGGCCCCGCTTGTGCGATGTTTATGTGTGCTGCGCGCGCCGTCACTACTGTGCTGCGCTCGCCGTCACCACCAATCTAGGTCTAGCGCTTCATCCAGTTATGCTTATGCGTCGTGCGTCGCTGGTTCGTATGTTAGCTCCCGACACATGCGTTTCGCCAGGCTGCACTTTGGCATTGCAGTGCCTCTCGTCTTTAACCACCAATCTGCATGGCCGCGATTGTGCAGTTTCATCATGGCGCGTTCGGGTACTTTCGTTCGCAATTGGCACCACCACCTGCCGATCGCGCCTGAGGTCCCTCTGCGCCGCCGAGTGAAAGTGTGTGTGTGTGTGCGTGTGTGTGTGTGGCGCCTGTGCGTGGGTTGCGAAATCTACACATGGCTCGTCTGCCCACGGTGTGAAGATATCCAAGTTCTGCCAAGCGGCTGCTGACCACCCCTTGATGCGGCTACTGCAGCCGCGACGGCTCCTGCTGGCACTGCTGCAACGAATGGCCTCGGGCCCGCCCTCCCACCTGGCCGCGGCCTGGCCAGGCCCATCGTTGGCGTCGATGACCTGGTCACCTACCTCCGCAACGGCTGCGACCTCGGCGCCAAACCTCTTTCTGGCTTCGAGCGCGCGCAGCGTAGGACGGGACCGGCACATGAACCGCGACGGCCTCTGGCGTGGCGGCGTCCTCGACCCCTTCGTGGGCTTTCGGACGAGTCAGCTCTGCGCTGTCTGTGCTCCCTGGGCTTGGCCTGGCGCCATCGCTCTGCCCCGCCCTTCCAGTGCACGCGTCACGCCCCGATGGCGGGGACGACCTCTCTTCGACCCGTCTCTGCCTGAAATGCCCCGGGGCGAGTGCCAGTGGTCAGTCCGTTGACTCCGCTGCCGCCATGCAGATTCGATCCTTGCTCGAACTGCGGCAGCGAACGAACCATCGACGAGTGCTCTTTGTTTTCCGCTGCCCTTGTTGGGTCTCGGGCGCCAGCCGCGCCACCGCCGCGCCCGCCCACATCGCCCGCTCCCCAGCAGAGTACAGGCGTGTCTCGACCCCGCCCTTCTGCGTTACGTTTCGAACCGGATCGATCTGCGAGGGCTCCGTGGCCCGAAACCTTGCGTAATCGCCCGCTGTGAAAAACTGGCGACGCCAGGATCCCAGGGCTCTGTGCTGATCGCCCCTGCTGCTCGGTTTCAACACTCTGCGCCGATCGCCCCCGGAGGGCCACGTCGTGTCTCCGAATGCCCACGCGACGCCTCGCTCCGCAAATGTGGCGATCACCAGGGTCGACCCTCTGTGATGATCGCCCGCGTGGCTCGGTTTCAGCCCTCCCCCTCCCGCCTGCGGCAGGGCCGACGGCGCTGAGGCTGCGCCTTTGCGCCACCGACCTGCGCTGCCCCCTCGGCTTGCCGGCGCTCGCGACACCGGGCCCTGGCGCGCCGCCTCGCCCATCTGCCCGCCAGCCCCCTCGTCCGCTCCGAGCTCTCGATCACGGACCTGCCGCCCACTGGCGCGGCTAAGACCTCGGGGCCCTTGGGCGTGGCGTAATGGGCGGGGGCGATTACTGGGGGGCAGCGAGGGCTGCCGAAAAGGGGCCCTGTAGGGCCCCTATAAAGGGCCCTGTAGGGCGCAAAGGGGGGCTTTCAAGGCCCGAAAAGGACACCTCCCTCCCCCCCTCATTTATCGCCCCCCATTGAGCGTCGCACAATCCCCCCGCCAGCCCCCAAGGCTGCCTCTCGACGCTTCCCTTCTCGGCTCTCTCTCTCCGCCCTCGGCGGCCAGTTTAGCCGCCGCCGCTCCTCGCCGCCTGGCGCGTCCGTTTGGCGCCTCGCTGGGTTGGCCCCCCACGACCGCCGCTGCCCCCTCGCCCCGCCGCCGGGTCCCCGCCGCGGTCGCTGCTCTCCGTTGCCCCCCACGGTCCCATAAGGGCCCGGCCCTGTCATTTTACCCCGCCGGCGAGCAAGCGCGCCGACAGGCCTTTGCTCGGCCTGGAGGCGTCCGGGCCGCGACGACCGAAACTGTGTGTGAGTGTGTATTCAAGCGTGTGCGCGCGCGTTCCGCCGCGTGGACTCGACTTTCTATGCCCCGTCGCCGCGCGCGGGGCCGCGACGCCAAAATCGGAGGTTGGGGGGTGAGATCGCAGTGGAACGGAGACCCCCAACCAGGAAATCGTTTCGTTTCGTTTCGTCCGTATCGTGCGTGCGGGCGAGGCGAAGCTGCGTGGGCGCGCGAGAGGAATGAACCCGCCGTTGCTAGGGCGAAGTCAAGACAAATGATTCTCCCCCGCCAGCCCGCCCCGTCCGGCGGTGGCTCGCGGTTTCCCGCGGTGTCCCGTGGTGTCCCGCGGTGTCCCGTGGTGTCCGCCGTTGCTAGGGCAAAGCCAAGACAAATTATTCTCCCCCGCCCGCCCGTCCGTCCGTCCGTCCGGCGGTGGCTGGCGGTGTCCCGCGGTCTCCCGTGGTGTCCCGTGGTGTCCCTTGGTGTCTCGTTGAGTGAGATCGATAGTGAGATCGATAGTACTATCGATAGTGAGATCGATGGTGAGATCGATACAGAGATCGATACTGAGATCGATGTGGTGCCCCGTGGTGTCCCGTGGTGTCCCGTGGTGTCCCAAAAAATG